ATTGGAGGCAAGCCGGCTCGGCGGACACACAAGGCGAATGCATAACGGAGGGGCGTTGGAACGTTGCGGGAGCCGGGGAGATATTTTAATGTGGTTGCATACCACCATTGTTATGTTGATTGATCTACAGACTGCAATCTTTTAAACCTCGATGCATCCTAGGCCTGGATGGTGCGTACATTCGTGGAACGATCACCCCGTCCGACGTCCGTGGTCGAAGCTGTCATATAGTATTAAAGACACTAAGACGGCCGACGGGTGCAATAACGGCGATCTGATCCCGTCTCTGGCGAATCTAGAGGGGTCGTAAAGGCCGAATCTGACCGTCTATTTTTAGGGAAACGGGGTGGGTGAATTGACAACCGATGGCTTAAGAGATGATGAGAAGGGATCCCGTCGTCGATTGTTGTTTGACAGACAACACATGTTGTACTGCATATTTACGTCTGGACAACGAGTTGCGTTGGAGAGGCCGGAAATAGTGGCGATTTCAGGACCGCAAGAATGGACCGTCATTGGAATGATTCTTTTTTAAACCGTGCACTGTTTTCGGCCGGAATTTAATAGTTACTACAAAATATTTTGTAATTACGTTTCCACCAAGAACGAATGCCATCAGGGCTAAATTTTTAATACTATTGCATTTTGTCAAGAAGCATATAGTGCTGTTATATTGCAGTTTTAGCGCGTTTGTTACAAAATATGAAGCGAATAATAAGCGTCAGTGTAATTCATCAAGTCAAGTGAAGTGAACTTGAGGGAAAGCTATGCTAATTGCTCTTGTCCATCCACTAAAATTTATTAAATATTTTGCTTTGTGTATTCCAAAAGGAGAGGGAACTATTTCATTTGTGCCTTCATGTCAGAATTGAAGGTGGATCATTAAATTTTCAACGCAGTTTACAAACAAGTATTTGGTCTTTCTCGTTTATAAGCAGTGGCTAAGAAAAGGTTGATCAATCCTGAAGTTCATTCATCGTACCTCAACTTGACAGCAAGATCCCCCAAGGACAAAGGATATATTGTATACATGTCCTGTAAATCAAAACAAACAAGCATTTGGTCTTTCTCGTATATAAGCAGTGGCTAAGAAAAGGTTGATCAATCCTGAAGTTCAGTCATCATACCTCAACTTGGCAGCAAGATCCCCCTAGGACAGAGGATATATTGTAAACCTGTCCTGTTAATCAAAACATTTTGTGCCTTCAAAGGCAATTAAGTTATCTGTGGTGTGTTCGGAGTTAGGCTATATGGCCGTTTTTGTTGTATGTTTATGTGGAGATTGAATATAACTGTGACCCTGTGCTTGTTTGTATACTTACGGTCAAACAGGGAACAGCACATTCACATAACATACTCTACTCACCTAGCACCTAACTCTGACTCATAGCTGTACCCTGCAGGATCTGTACTTGTTCATGTCTCGAGCATTAACAAAGCACTAAAGTAGCTTAGTAATCATTTCCCACATTTTCTGAGCATCTAACATGACATACAGCAGTGTAGAGCAGCTTCAGAGAAGAAACACTTTAAATGCACAGACTCACACCAGCCACCCAATGAGCCAGTTCCTCAGTTGACTGTTTCCCTGGACACATGGCTTGGCAATGTGAGCTAACTTTTGGCAAGTTTAAGGTTAGCAGGTAAGATTGAGTTAGGGTGAGTACCTACCTATAACTGGGTGCTACTGCCATGCAGGTCTTGGGTAGGATGCAAATATGTGTGATGATTGAGGTTAGGTCAGCCGTCAGGTTAGTCAGGTTCAGGTATGCTCATTGCTCAGGTCACATTTTTATGGACATTTGGCAAATTAAAAAACTAACAATCTGATCTAAGCTAACCCGACTAAACATACACAACTACTGACTATAGGAACTGAGCACCTACCTACTTGTGCCTACATCTCATACCATGTCAAAGTAGAGTTCCTTGGTGGAAGAAGATTACCCTCAGTACTTTTTATCCCAGCCCTGTGAAGAAAACTAATACTTCTAAGTTCTAAGCTCTGAGTCACTGCTGGCCATCCACAGGAAGAAACGCTGAGACTGAGAGCTTTGCCATTGTATATTGGACCAATAATGACTATCACGAATGACTATGAACACATAATATGATCACATCATTGCATGGATTGTCACATTGACAATTTTACTACAATCCTTTTTTAAAGAAATACAGTGATGATGATTAACATCAAAATCAACATAAAGTGGATTTAGTGATCCAAGCTTTCTCCTCCAGTAGCAATGGAATGATTGCATGTTTCATTTGCCAGACACTGAGTACTGATGCACATTACAATCTGCATAGCATCTAAGCATAGTAAGCATAGTAAAACTGCCCAAGTCCATTCATTCTAGATTTTAACTTGATAGTTAGCACTAATTTATCTTGCTGCTGTAAGTTACCATTCAATATTCATACCAATACATCAATATGCGCTCATCAGTCAACATTTTCTGGCATGATCCTGCTCAGCGTGCTCTTCAGTATTGCTCCAAGGTCTGCAATATTATAGCTCGTTTTTGGACAATAAGCTCTTTTAATTTTACTTTTTCTTGCTTATATATGAGCCCGATCAACTTGCGTTTATCAACCGAAATTTCACAACTTGTTCAACTTGATATTGATATTGCTCAGTAGTCAGGACCTCTGTCAGCCTCCTGGATACTTCAGATTGTTTTCAGTCAACATGCTTCTTAAATATGATATAAGTCAATCTTAAGGGATTCAAAACATCCAACAAAACGATGTACCTACAAGAGCAAGAAAACCACCAGATAAACTAAAAAATGGCCTTGGAACAGAGCCAAGTTGTGTGCTCCATTTGTTTGTTTACAATGATTGTAGTGCTGGTGTATTTTTAGGACTCTGAACGTCGGCTATATAAAAAATGAAACGTTTTTACAAAAGTTGTAAGGCAAGTAATATTTATCTGAAAGAACTAAAATATTCAAAAGCCAAACACTATGAAATACATGAATCGGAACGAAAAAGTAACCCAAAAGTCCAGCCTAATCACCGGCTCCTAAAACTGCAACACAATCAGCACTTTTCCCCGCAACTCGTTGTCCAGACGTAAATATGCTGTTGTACTGGGCGTATGACCATCAGAGGTAATGCCTGAACGTAGGCAAGCATAATTGTTCTGTCATACTGTTTAGGAATATAGAATGGTAATGGAGATTATTGAGGATATGATCTCTACATTACAGGAATTCACTAATTACTACGGCCCATAGGGGCACCGCCGGAGCTGTTGTTTTGCCATCGGTCCCAGGCAACTCCAGGGAGCTGCAGTACCCGGCGGCCAAAGCGGCCACCTCGTCGACTCGCAGGTCCTGTGGGATTCCGTGATGCTTTAGTGCTTCACCCACAGAAGCACGGGCATAGCAGTAGGATGTGGGGCTAGGTGTCTGTCCACCTCTTCATTGAAAGAACAACGTATACAGCGCCTGGTCCCGCCGAAGCTCGGTATCGACCGTCACTTATTCACAACTGGCGGATCCAGGAAGCGGTCTTGGACACTGCGGGGGCTTACCCCAAAAAGGTTTCTCGGAATTAATTTAAAAAAAACTCGGATTTCGATTCCTTGCGCACTGCTGTGCAGTGTGATTAACCAACATTTCCTCAGAAAAGTTGTGAAGTTTTCTCTGATTCTCGAAAAGCGATTTCGGGCGCTGCCAATGTGGGGGAAGACATTTGCCCCAAATGCCTTCCCCTGGATCCGCCAGTGGGTTGCCCCACTCCGAGCTTGACTAAAAACGTCTTCAAACCCCACCAGAAACCGATGGTAAGGTGAATTTAAATCCAATAACTCATCTCTGTCTGCCAGCCTAAATATACAACACATGGTACGGCACCCGGCCCTGTCTGACCTATGAGCCGATCGCGATATTTTCGGCTTTCCCCATCCCAAGCTCGATTAGAAACGTTCTCCTTCCCCACCCGATTGCTGATGTCAATTCAAATTCAATACCTCATCTCTGTCTGCCCGACCATAACCCATTCATTGCACACCGTTCAGCGCCCCGCCCCGCCAGAAGTATCCTAGCGCGCTGAGCATTTGCCTCCAGCCGCGTCATCGCGAGGCCCCGCGCGGCCCATAAATTAATACATTGCGCGAATAGCCGTGTCACCCCCCTGAGTTAGATATAGAGTAACAGAAATTGGAAAATTAACAGAAATGAGGGCAAAAGCTCTTCTAAACCAATCCTAGACACTGGATGGAGCACAACTAAATCATCGACCCAATAAAGAATTTTTCGTTTTAGGGCGCCTTGGTGTGCATAATAGCCAAATCCACAACCACACGTATGGAAGACGACAGTTTGCCTCGATGACCCTATGACTGAGATCTTTGGCCTAGAGCATTTATGGAGCATTTCAGGAGTAACCGAGCAACCAGCATTATTTTATATAAACCTGCCTTATGCCTAGCCTACCTTTGTATGCTGAAGCTGATTGATACGCTCGAAAGATGTCTGCTTCAATGTGTGCTGTTATGTAGGTATTTTTGGCTTAAAATTGATCAAATTGATAAAATTTATTGATATGTTTGCAGTGCATAGGTGTCTTTGATCGCAAAATGCTTCAAGACCGACTTTCTGCTTTAGACAAACATATCTATAAATTGAAATATGTTACTGCTACTAGATTGACATACGTTCACCAATATACCCTGCGTTCACCAACCAACAAATGGCGCAGAACGGCGCTGTTATTGTCCACTCTGCAGAGAGTTCAGAGCAGTATTTATATAGTTTCAGTTTCAGAGCAGTATTAGTATAGTATTCAATGACCGTGGTTCAGAGTAATGCCATGCTTTAGGTTGATTTTGCACGTGTTTTGTTGCGTCGGACGCGGTAAGTGGTTCATGGAATTATTTTTTTTTTGATATCTTCATGCATAACTATTCTTAAAAGGAATATGAGTAATTGAAATTACATGTTTAAACGTAAGGCAATAAGGAAATTGTCGGGTACAATTTCAGTCGGGCGCACTAGGGTAATTCCGTTCCATATATAGAAACGTTTCTATATTTGGAAACGATGTTCCATATATAGAAACGCTTGTTCCAAATATGGAAACGCTGCGTTTCTATATTTGGAAACGGTAGGTGTATGCTCACCTGTTTGACGATCTTCGCAAGCTCTGGCGAAATTTCGCACAAAACGGTTTCCACCAGTGACAAGCCAACATTTGAGTTTATAATCGCAAGGAGGCCCGAAGAAATCCATGGTGGCCCTTGGTAATGACGACGATTTGATTTCCGGTTTGTGTAAAATGTAGAAGAAATTGCGAATAAGAGAAAAACTTCTATTAAGGTTTCCCTTCAAATATGACGTCCAGAACCCGATTTGGGCTGATTTTTGGCAGAATATTGGCTAATTTGGGCTAAATAGATGTTTTAAGTTTTGGCGAAATTGATGTGTCATTTTCACCCGAGTGCTTCCTTGTTGCCACTAGATGGCATTCCACCATCTAGAAAGTTATATAACGCATCTTGCTTTAAAATAAATCGTCCGGAAGGTTGGCGTTTCTATTTATGGAACGAGCGTTTCTATATATGGAACAAAAAACATTTCAAATATAGAAACGTTTCCAAATATAGAAACGTTTCTATATATGGAACGGAATTACCCTAGTGCGCCCGACTGATTTGAGTACAATAACATATTCGATTCAATATTATCCGATTCATATTCGATTGATAACGATTCAATGAGGAAATGCTGACTGCGATGCATGTCTTCCATTTTTAGTAAGTATTGTCTGATAAGCTTATCATTGTGTTCTGCCTCGGGGAAAATGCTGTCGCTTGGATTTTCTCTATTGGCAAATTATTTACGAGAAGATACGCTAAGCATGTCCAGTAGGTATTTAGGAGAGTTGTTTGTTGGATAATTATTTCTGTCTCGTTTCTTACCTCTTTGGGCATGTTTGCGAATATAAAGTGGCCAAAGTCAGACCAGAAAATGGGTTTGGGGGTAGGTGAGGTTTTGGCACTAAAGGCTGGCAATGCCTATGGGAGCCTGCCCCCCCCCCCCCCCCACACACACACACACATTCAAAAATGTTCCTATGCCCAAACAGGTGTATTGAGCTGGTTTGTCTGCAATCTGGGCACCTAAAAAGTACTGATCTTTTACTTCAAATTCCACTTCCTACAGAGCAAGCTCCCCAGTTTATTGTCATATGGAGGCTAAAAGCTGGTCATAAGAAATGCTGCCAGAGCTATGGCAGTTCATCATTCATTAGCCAATAGCTGTCCTCTGCAAAGTCAGCTTTTATATCAAAAGCTATCACCAGTAGGGTCATCACCGAGGACATACAAATTGTCCCCTCTCAATTCTACTGAGGCAAGAAATTTGCATGGGCAGTTGTTTCACACCCTACATCCAACAACAATTGTACACAGCTTTATACTTTTGGTCCCATTCCAGTTTGAGGGTCCCATTCCAGTTGGGGTAGCTAGGGACTTATGAGAGCTTAAAGGATGCCTTGCCAAGGACGCATCTCCAGTCCTGTAGGCAAAGTCATTGTGGGCATTGGCGAAATCCAGCTGCCTGCACTTCTGGACCACAGTAGACCAGGGCTGCAGCCTAAGGTTGAGCGGCTTCAGCCTCTTAAGGTCGACCTTAAAATCACGAGCTTTGCCATTTGACTCACCGCGGTATTACACCCTTGACATGTGCGGCTTTCGAGCGTCTCTCGTAAACGGTTGCGGGCCAACCAGCGCCTAATTGTCAAGCTGACGTTCAGTGTTTTGGCAGCCTGAAGCTGGGCCATGGGCCATCTCTCTTGACCATCGCCACCGCACGGTGGCGGATTGATAGCTTGTGCTGTCTTACTATTGGTGATATGTGGTCTCTCTGAACTGGCTGTCTGGACAAGGTTTGCCTCTCGCGGCCAGTACCGGCCGAGGTCAGGTCACCCGCTGGGGTCATGTGATCATGTGACCAGACAGGTGCCCCTGGAGCCGGAGCCGGTAAAATAACTTTTGTTTCACATAGCGTTACATTACATTCTTTCAACACTCGGGAAGGACAGTATAACAAGCGACACCGACCGCACATCGATTTCGGGACACCTTGAATGCAGTGTGCTGTGTGTTGCCGTTTTGCTAACAGATGCTTCTCTTCTTTCACACAGAAAATGGCCGGCGAAGTTGTCGTTGATGCCCTGCCGTACATCGATCAGGGTTATGAAGAGGCGGGTGTGAGGGAGGCTGCTTTGGCCCTGGTTGATGAAGAAACTCGTCGCTATCGCCCGACGAAGAATTATTTGGACCACCTCCCGCCTTTGAATTTATCTCAGTATGAGACTGAGGTGATGCGTGCCGAGTTTGACCGACTGGCCGCCCGCCAGCCCATGGAAATGCTCAGCATGAAGCGGTACGAACTGCCCACTCCTCCGTCTGGAAAGATGACGGACATCAGTGCCTGGAATGAGTGTGTCGATAACTCGATGGCTCAGCTCGAGCACCAGGCCACCAGGATAGAAAATCTGGAGCTGATGATGGACCACGGTTGCGAAGCCTGGAAGATTTACAATGAGGTTCTGGTCAAGATGGCGTCGGATGCACAGAAACAGCTGCAGGATGTCAAAAAGAACATACAAGAGGTGAACTGGAAAAGGAAACAGGCGCAACAGAATGCCGGCGGTGAGTTGAGAAGACTGGAAGAAACTTGGGTCGGCTTAGTGAGCAAGAACTATGAAATCGAACAAGCGTGTGTGAACCTTGAGAGAGAACTCGCAAAGCTGAAGGACGAAATGAGCTTTGTGCAAAGCGAATGAGTGCGCGCCGACCTTATCATTTGGTGTTCATGTGTCGACTTTTTTATTTTGTCTAGGAGCCGGTGGGCTCATTTCACTATTGGACGAGATACGGGGCTAGAACGAGTTCCGCCTGTCCCGGTTGTCGCGACAGTCTGACTTCACCTACTGTGTTCCACTGCTGCTGCAGATGGATTTAATGTTGCACTGTCTGGTCAGCATTGATAAATACATCATCACGAAAGGTATGAAAAACGGGTTAAGAAGTGCTTTGGTGATGGGACGTCGTTTCGTTAGTAATTACAAACAACGAACAAACGTCAAACCGCCTACCTGGATTTTTCGGCTCTGTAATGTTCCGATCCGTCACCTAACTTTATCGCTCTCCGTTGTGCTCCGGACGAGACAGTTAGCGGTATCCGGGAGAATATCGCATTTTAATTATCACCATCATCATCAACCAGTTCACTAACTTTTACGTCAAGCGCACCTATGTTTGCTTATCCCGGCAGGCGGTGGGCCTTCCGCGCGGTGGGGGGGGGGGGGGCATTCCCTGATATCTTTTCCTCGCGTGTTACAGAAAAGCCTCGCTCCTTCGTCGCTCGGTTTTTCAGTAACCCGCTTGGAAAAGATATCCTGATCTTCCACTCGGAGCCATGAAGAATCCTCTATATCTCCGAACCTACTGGACGGATCCGTAAAATTCAAACGGCGTTCGATAGCCCTGTCAAATTTGTCGACTAAACCCGAATTTAATTGACCTTGGGGTCACCAATGACGTCACAGGTCAGGTCAAAGATAAAATGTCACCGTTCACGGGTCTTCTAGGGAATGCGCTATAACATCGAGTAAAACGCATTTTGTCGAAAATCAGCGATAGGGCGTCAGTTGGCTAGCACATATGTTGCTATTAGAGGTCACTGATAATAACAGGTTAGGTCACAGGTCAGGTCACCAATGCAAGGGTCAGCACATGAACCCAACTACTAGGGTTGTGCGATGCATGTTTTATGGCCATTTTTTTCATTTCAAACTCAATGATGTTGGTTATAAGACCATCAGGTATACGGTTTAGGTCACTTTCTGGTGGAGGTCAGGTCAACGTCAGGTCAAATTAAAGGTCAAATTTCAAAGTTGATATTTTTGCATAAAATGGGTATCGATTCGATGCAGCTCGTCACGGGGAGTCTAACGGTGGTCTTTGTTTTGCGCTACGTGGTCTAGAATTGCTTTAAAAAAATGAGTTTGAAAATTTGACGTCATCAATTTTTAACACTTTTTTCGCTATAACTTGGCCAACAAAAGAGGTATCGATCTCAAATTCGGTCTGTGGATAGAAGGCGGTAGAGACTATCACATATATTCCGGTTTTTCGAAATTGAAAACTTTTTGGATATTTTGGCCTATATATTCAAAAAACCTAGTTTTTTTGGGGGGCGGCAAAATTCAAAAAATTCAAATATCCGAGATAGTAGTTTTGTAGCCTTGTTGATTCTACATTTTTTTATCTCAAAAGCATTTTTCTGTATTTCTAAAGCTGTAGGCCTGACAGCTCTTCCCGCAAAACCTTTTTTGGGTCAAAAATGGCGGAAATGATGTCACTCCGACGTCATTAGCGGCCAACCTATCATAGCATTCGGAAAAATTTCTAGTCACATGTGTAAAAGTATTCACGGGAGGGTACTGAATGTTTGGTGACGATCGGCGCAGCGGTTCTGGAGATATATTGAAAAAACTAAAGGGGTGACAAAAAAATAATGCCCCCCCCCCCACCGCCTGGAAGGTTAACCCGCGCACCGACGGGGGTCTGCGCCAACTTCGCACCGACGGGGGGGGGCGGATGCGGGATGACCGTCCCCCCCCTGAGATCTCGAGAACGAAGCAAGATAGCGACAAGCGGTAAACGGCATCGGATACGCACGGACAAGGTCTACAATTTTTACAATGGTCATTTTCAGGTCAGGTCAAAGATGACGTCACAGGGGTCGAAAAAGTCAAAATGGCGGCGCTAGATATGGAGAGAGTTTTTCTCGAATAACTTTCGAATTAGTCAAGATAGGAACCAACTAAGGGCAACATCGTGATCCTCTCGTCAATCCGCATCAAATGATATATATGTTGACCTCGAAAGGTCAAGGTCAAAGGTTGACCTCAGGTCACGTGACCTCGAGGTCATTATGTATATCATTCGATGCGTCTTGAAGGAAAAGGGCCACCTTTAACATGGGGATTGAAACTGAGATAGCCATCTTGTAGCCCGTGTCCGAAAACCTCTCTGTCTACCTCCTTACGGCCGATTTCGGCCTCCATTCGTAGTTATCGGCAATTTTAAAAGAAAATATGCCAGGAATGCGTTCTTATCCCAGGAATGCGTTCTTATCCGACAATACAGCCACCCGCGGCGAGGCTTTGGTTTTTAACCAATCAGCTTGCAGCAGTACTGATCAGGCACGGATCCCTGTACTAGCGAGCAGACCACGAGCAGTTGCGTTATTTTTCGTTGTCTGTTCTGGCAATCGGCCGGCGGATGAACATCCGCAATCGAATCTTGAAATCCGTCGCGCTGATTGGTGATGAGTTTCATGAGCTACTTTCATGAGGTCTATGAAAGTAAACCTATGCTATGCCCTGAACAGATGACATCTCGTTTGGTAGCCAATTGCTAAAATGCATTTTTATCTTACGCAAGGCAGTATACCATATTTTATACCGTGGCTCTGATCCGAAATCAGGGCATTTTTGTTCGAACAAATACCTATAATAACGATGAAGAAGTGCGTGATCCGCGGAGCAAACGACCTACGTCGGGTCGGGACTGATATGCGTGTGACTGTGCACAAGTAAGTACCTAGGTACCTAGGTAGGTACCTAAATTCTTATTTATTGCAATGGCTCTTCTATTACTTTTGTTTTCACAGAACTCCCCTGGATTAGCAAACCCTTTTGAACTGTTCAGGCTTTCACAACTGAAATGCCAGACTGGATAAAAAAAACGCAAGTTATGCCGAATATGCCATGCGAAGTGGCGTGATTGCGGCGTTGCCCCGAAAATTTCATCGCACATCCAGCATAATTTTGCATGCGTCAAATTCAGCGCATGGTGGGAGCTGAATTTTTAGGCGCAGGGTGACCGCATGGCGCATAATGTTTATGCAAATGGCTGTCACCGAATTTTTTGACACGCTGTGGTCAGTCGGGCGCACTGTGGTATCTCCGATTCATTTATGGAGACGTTTCTATTATTGGAAACGTTTCCAATTTTGACTACTATTCTGTTCCAAAAATGGAAACGCTCGTTCCATAAATAGAAACGCTAACATCTCCGCACATATTTTCTTGCCTAGGGTGGCTGGATTCGATGTATAACAACTGTTTCGCGTAAAACAAGCTCAGATACACCAAAAGCACTTGTCTTCTTGCATGGAAAGCTGTCGTATACATTAAAATTCACGTCTTTAAAATGCTCCTGAATCGTATCCATTTATGGAAACTTAGTTTCCAAAAATGGAAACGCCGATGTTCCAAAAATAGAAACGCTGAAGTTCAAATGTGTGCAAACTTAGCTTAAATGTGTTTTTAAAATTCACATGCAACTGAAACTTTGATGTTTTGGGACTGGTTTAGCATCTCGGCTCTCGGCAGTTACCTTGGACGTCGGGTTCGATAATAATACCTTACGCGCCGCAACTTGAGCACATTCAAAAGTCAACTAAAACTAAGATTTCCCAGAAACTACTGGACAGATGTGGTCCAAAGTGGGCAATACATAAAGCGTAGATATCATTTCAATATATAAAATTAATATAAATGTTACACATGAGCTAGAATGAATAAATTCATCGTCAGAATACAACGGTATTTGGTGTGACGACGGTGAAGACCTTATTTCCATCCTGCTTTTTACGTATTTGCACGGAGATTTACGTTGATCCGAGCCTTCGATCATATTCAGCACATGTGAAATATCATAAAATGCCCACTTGAGTCTCCAAATAGGGCTTTGCAACAACTTTCATGCGATTTAATCAAAGATGGACGACCACCAGGCCGCTGGTACACCGGAAAACGGAGCGTGAAAATGAATGAAAAACTGAAGTTCCCGGTGATGTGGTTGTTCCAATTAATGGGTCAGTCTTTCAGTAGTCTGTTAAAAACGTTATTTTTTGTTCAAAACATTCATAAATGTTATTAATTTCGATTAGAAAAACATGTGAATTTTTTATCACATCAACATGTTATAAGCATCGCCTCGTTCGTCAACTTCCGGTTTTCTGATCGGAAAGTCGGAGAACAGGAACATAAACTAGAATGCTGGCTGTCGATTGGTGGCATCCTGCGCATGCCAAATTGCACCAATCAATGCCCAGTTTGCTTTAAAGGTAGCGATGCACACAGCGTCTCCATTTATGGAACAGATCGTTTCTATTTTTGGAAACGGCGTATCCATTTTTGGAACATTGTTCCAAAAATGGAAACGTTTCCATAAATGGATCGGAAATACCACAGTGTGCCCGACTGTGGTCAATCTAGCAGCAGACTTGCCCTGCGGGCGCTGGCAGGTCTGAAGAGAGTCGAAACTTCCGGCCTGGGCCTTGTTTCACCTTAAGATTCTACAGTGTGCCACACAAATTGTGGTATTGGGTTTTCATGGGAACATTAACTAATTCAGACGCTCAGAAAGGGAAGAGCGTCTGACTCCGAGGCCCCGGAACGATCTGTCTGGTTGATATAGCCTTGGTCGGTAGATATGCACATGTGCTTTATGTAAAAGTGGCTTAATTTTGGTGCAAACAGGCACCCAACTTTCAGTGGAAATCATGCACTGGAATTTCAGCTCAAAATTGCTTGCTTCAAATTTTGGCGCATGAGGGGCTCACGGGCATCCGGCGTAGTGTATGGATGTTTTCCAGTCTGGCTGAAAGGCAGAACTCAGACACATTTATCCAGCCCTTCAAATCCCATTTCCTGGTTGTGGTAACACCTACCTTTCCATGGGGGTTTGGTTCATCTCTTGTCTACACAGTTTTCTTTCACTTATGTGCTGACAAGAAAAGGAAACTCACCAGAGCCCAGTTTCACCAAGTGCGGTAAACTCAATTTGGGGTAAACTACCAAACTACCCCACTACTTAACTACAAAAACTACCCCAAAATTAAGTTTGCTGCACTTGGTGAAACTGGGCTCAGTGGAGCTATTCAGCTTAATACACAGAGTATGTGTTGCATGGACTAAGCATGTGTTGACCCTTTTTTACT